ATTTTTACTTTGCCCCATTGTGTCAAACTTTTAGAACCTCCTTCACCTGCAATTCATGTAGAACCTCCTTCACCTGCAATTCATGAAACAAGTCCTCTGAACTCAATCAAATGACACCTAGAGGGAAAATCAACATTTTAGTGCTGTCAGTTTTCAGGTGGATCTACATCTACTTTGACAAGAACATTCAAGCACATGAATAACCTTAGGTCTAAACTTCAGACTGTTTATTATAAGTGCATTGAAACAACATGCAACACATTTGTTGGACTATTTTTGTCATTAATTTCCATTTAACGTTAGAAGTAAAGTTTCCCATTTAGAAATATAAACAGAAAGGTGTCCTGAAGTCAGAAAAAAAGTGGAGAACATAGACCATTTCCACCAATCCCAAAACCCCAATATGACTGCCATGTCCAAATTGCATTTAGCTTGTGCTGTGTATATTTGTAAGCCCACTTATTGTAAGATTTATCTAACTCCACAGATCCTTCCCGCTTCACTGTCCTCTGCTGCAGTTTCTGCTTTAGGATTACCCAAAGAAATCCACTGTCCTTCCCTTAAAATGTGTCTATAGACATTTGATTTCCAGTTTGTAGATTTAAAAGGTAGCATACATAAGCTTATATTAGTATAAACTATATAAATCTAAATGCAGATAATTGAATATGCTTGTATCCAGTGTCCCTGATATAAGTTCGTATCAAGTAAACATCAGTTTGCTCATAAGCTCTGAAAAGCAGCTAATTGCTGTAATTGCAAATTAATAAATATATTCTAAATAGCTTATAACAGAATTCCCTGTGCATCCCACCTAGAACTAAAACCTCAGTATCTAAATAAATCTAAACCCTTCAATTGTTGCCTTAGCTGCAGGTTTAGGGTATTTCCTGTAAGAAGGCGAACCTGTTTTTTTTTTTTTAGAATTACTTCATCCGTCTCTTTTTTACCAGCTGCTAAATGAATATATCCCCACAGGATGATTCTGTCCCCACCTTGCTTCAGTAAGGGGAAGGTGTTCTCGGGGTTCTAAGCACTGGTACTTTTGTGTGACAAATATGGGTTGCAAGCAGGCTAATAAAATGCACTTTTGGTCAAATTGAACCAAAAGATCCGTGTGTTTGCTGTGTCCCCCTGCATGGCATCTGGAATATTAACTCTATTTACCGATAAGGTCTTATCTGAAAAAGGTTGACTGGATGGTTTTGTTTAGGGGTATCAGAGTAAAGATAACAGAATACAAATACATAAACCACATCTTTCCTGCTCTTTGTCATTTTATTTTTTTTTAACACTTAATTAATTTACTTCTACTCTATAGTTCTGCACTGCTTTGTGTCATTTTCATCAAATACATAAATCAAAGTTTATATTAGAAAGATTCAAAGCACTGTAAATGTAGAGATTCATCCTAGATACTGACGATGGCGAGCTGTGCTTTAATGTTTTCTTTTTCTGCTTTTTGTAGAATCAAGCCCCTGTAGGGTTTTAGAAAGGCCTCGTGAGGACAGATGGACCCGCAGGAACGTGGAGTCACCCTCATCCCCGTCTTCTTTACGCTCTCATTCTTCAGTGCCGAACAGTGACAGCGGCCAACCGTCCTGGATGGAGCTGGCCAAGAGGAAGTCAATGGCTTGGAGTGATAAGAGCATGCACTAAAAAGGGAAGCTGAGAGATTTAAAGTTTCTCGGAAACTGGAACAAGTACTGCTTGAAATGAAAGAATAAGACAAAAGCTGAGTGAAGCCTGGAAGGTGTTTATCAGATGTGGTTTAAAACCTTCCTTTTTATTCAGTCACAAAGTTTTATCGTTCTAGAAACAGAAAGAAAGACTGAACAGACTGACATTTCTATATACTCCATCTTTATGATAAGATGTGTTTATGAATAATTTGTAATGATGGCTAACTGCTGTAAAATGTTTATGGTAAATAATTAAATTTTCTAAAGTGTCCAAGCTTCTTATTTACAAAGACTAAACAAAAACAAAAAAAATATGAATAAAGTTGTTAGTTTCTATAATGACCTCGAAAAAAATTAGACTTATAGCTCCACCTACAGGTCAGAAAAAGCTATAAGTATACTTATTCTATTTATTTAAAATAAGAAACATGAACATGGTTAATATATTTCCCTGCTTTATTACTGCTCTATGTGTCATGTGTGGATTCACATAAAATGGTTTTCTCTGAAATCTTAATACAAAAAAGATTATGAGAGGATTATAGGTTTAACTACTATGTTATATAGATTAAAACACTGCATCATACATGTGCTCAAAACATCTCTAACTTTATATCCCTGAAGAATGTGGTTGAGATTTCAAGAGATCATTAATTATATAATTCTTTATTAGTCAGTTGCATAGTAAATGGCAGAATATGTTATCAAACTTATGCAGGAAAGAATGTCTTAAATCTTTTTTTTTGCTTTTAATAAGGTACTCACTTTGTTTAACATCCATTTTCCTGTATGCATCAAATGTATTGAGTGACATTTGTGATATGTAACTTCTTTTTTATTTACCAGGTAATTAATACTGTGCAAGAAGAAAACATTTCCTCTGACAGAGGACAGCCATCAGCGTCATGTCAAAATGTGTGAAGTAAAACAAGCCAAAAAAAAAACGACAATATTCTATGTCTTACCTTTGTAAAAAAAAATGTCCTAAAGACATAACCACAAATAAACTAAATGGCAATGAGAATACTTGGGAGTAAAACAGCAGATTTTCAACCAAATTATTGAAATGCCAGAAGTTATTATTTAACCATGTTTAAAAGGCTTTGGTTTAAAGGACACCTTATGTGGACGAACGACACCTCGACAGAGGAGATCCAGCAGACAGGTTGACGAGTTGTTTGTAAAAAAACGTTTCTTGCCTTATGGGTTGGTGGATGGAACAAAAGGCAAGTCAGGTAGATGAGGATGAGGAAGGATGGACAACAGTTTCAAATGGGAAAGAGAGAGATAGATGAGGTAAAAGGGGAGAAAGGTGGTTTGAGAATCAAGGAAATACACAGGAATTAGAAGAAAGCAGTTCAGATGAAGAAAGAGTTGAGCAAAGTAAGGTTGTCAGAGAAGAGATAAAAATAATATTTAGATTAAGTGCTGAAGAAAGCAGTCCTTAGAGCCCCATTTTGATTTCCAGAGAAATCATTAAAAAAAATGTGGGAGTTGAATTAGTGAAGGAATTGGATGATAGAAACTTGCTGGTAATTTGCAAAAATGAAGAGCAAAAAAGAAAATGAAAGCATTGGATGTTAAACACCTAGGGAAAAAAAGACGTCACAGAGATAAAAGTGATTTGATAGAATATAACAGTGAAAGGAGTAATAACAGGAATACCAATTAATGAGAATTTAGATTAATTAAAGGTTAACATTTTTGGAGGCAAGGTTAACAAGATACAGAGACTGTATAAAAACATACAAGGGAAAGGGGGGGCAGCATGTCACTGCTGATAGACTTCTCAGTCAGTTTTATCAGGAAGAGCTGGAAAAGGTTTTATGAGTTTCCCAGTTAGGCCGTTCATTCCACCTCCACTCAGGGGCTACAGGTGTCAGTGCTATGGACATGTGCCAGCAGATTGTAGGGGAAAGCAAACATGTTCAAAATGTAGAGAACACAAAATCAAGGAGTGCAGGGAAGAAGCTGAAGAAAGGTGCTGCAACTGTGGAGGCCTGAATAGAGTTAACTATGCAAGCAGCGGAGATACATGTTAAAACAACAAAAAAATATATAAGCTACGCAGCAGTGAAGAGAGTGACAAAGGACAGGAGAAATGAATCAAGCACAGAATCAGGTACAAAAGTAAAATAAAAAAGAAAGACAAGATGATAATTTCACTCCAACGGTTGAGAAACTCGTTTTATTCATAGCAAATGTCATCATCTGCACAGACCAAGCCAAGCATTAGACACAGAAAATCAGGATCATTCCCAGAGGAGGTGAAAAGTTTTTGGGACTCAAAGAAATTTCTTTGGGAAAACAAGGTTGGAGTTGGAGGGAAGAACAGGAGCATCTGGACAATAAAAGTTTAAGACATTATTAATAATAAATAGTAATATTAAATAAATATATAGGATATTGGTTTATTATATCCATCCATTTTCCATCATGCTTATCCCAAGCGGGGTCGCAAAGGGGTGCTGGTGCTTATCTCCAGTTGTCTACGGGTGAGAGGTCACCAGTCCATCACAGGGTTTACTATATTATAGATATAAAGTAAAGCAGAAACATTTATTGGTTAATATACTCTCATTGTGTTTCACAATCCATACCAGTAGGTGGCGGTAATGCGCTTTCAAATTTTTTGGCAACCACCATTAAACTTCACAAAGAAGAAGCCGACACACACCTCAAGTTTTTAATTTCTCCTGCCGCTAGAGGGCGGTCGCGTTTTTTTTCTTTTCTTTTTTAACTACAGTTACACGTAACAAACCGCCAGAGGTCGCTGCAGAAAGCTGCCCCATGCTTATGTTTTGAAACAGCCCACACGTGAGTTAGTAAACAACACCAGAGTGAATGTGAACGGACGGCTATCCTTCCTGCTCCATGGGGCCCCGTTACTTTCCTCTGGCCCTGTGTGCCAGCCTTTTGTGTCTGTGCCAGAGCTACACGCTCAGGAGCACCGTCTCCTGGGTGGTCTCTTCCAACGACGTGGACGTGGCGGACACTGACCTGTCCGAAGAAGCTGCCCCGGCTCTGCTAGTGGAAGGCGCCGGGCTGTGGAAGGCTAACGTCCTCGGAGACCGCCTGGAGACGCCTGGACTCGGGAAGCAGGTGGAGCCCGAAAGCCCAGAGGCGGCGGAGCTGTCCTCTCGGTTGTTCTCATATCCCGTAGGGAAGGTGAAGAAGTCCAGCAGCACTCCTCCTCCACACCAGGAGACCGCCAGGACCGCCAGATACATCGCCCACTACAGCGACTGGGGTCACCTGGCCACCATTTCCACTCAAGACAAGGTAACGGCCCGTGGACTGGTCCTGCTTCTGGGTAGACTTTAATAAACTAAGTAACAAGGCTGGAATGTTGCTTCTAGTAAAGAGAGAAAAAAGACAAACCCAACAGACTCAATTCACACTTTGAATAGTAGAATCAAGTGATAATCTTAGAAGCTATGATGCATTAACTGTATTTAGCGCTTCATAATGTGTTATGTAGCAGATTATTCAAGGTCACCATGTTTGGCAAGAAAAACTACAACTACGGAAGCCCATGGGGTTGCAAAACAGCAGGGAAGTAAATTTTACATAAAATATTTAGTTCGCTCTGTGAAAGAAAGACACTTAAAGAAAATGCCTAATTAAAAACGTCAATTAGATTTCATTGGACCTGGTAAAGAAATGTTGACATTGTCAGAAATCGTATTTTTCTTTTTAAGTACACATTCATGTTTGTGTTTCTGTTTTGGGTCACTGTATGTTGCAATTTGCTGCTTTTTTTTTTTTGTCTTCTTATATCTCTCTAACTTCTATACTGAACTGTTGCTTGTCTAGAATTAGATTTACCTGAGGAGAAAACCTCCATTGTTACTTTAGAACACACCCAGATTATAATTCTGTCTGCTAAACAGCCATCTTACAATTTATGATAATAAAAAAGTACTTCCAATATACCAACACCTCTCCTCACAATGACCTTGGTGTTATTTTCTGCTTCCTGTCAAATCTATGTATAAATAGAGTCCATTAAAAATCCATCTATGTAGTGCTGCTTCACATTATTTTAATCAAATAAAGATAGACTGTTTAAAAACATTCTAAGGGATCCCAAGAAACTGTGTTTAGTCTTTGACTTTGCAGCATTCTCTCCTCCTGAGCTTGCATATTGCAACAGTGGAAAGGAAAACTCACCTTTAACGGGAAGAAACCTTCAACAGAGCCTGACTCAGTCAGAACAGCCTTCTGCTGCCACTGACCGGGGGTTTGAATCATCCTCCTCTTATGGTCAGTAAAACAACTGGACTTCAGTTCTTATAGTTTTTTTTTATTCTTTCTTTAAAACTTCCTCTGGCTAGAGATTGTGAGGGAGAAGTTCCATGCTTTAAGCTGTTGGAGAAGAGCCAATCTGCATATTTAATGCTTGTAGTTTTCCTGGGACATTGAGGCTAAATCCAGGGAGCTGACAATGGTATCTGAACAGAAAGGTTGCATAAAGATGAAACTGGAGGAGCTGTCATAGATGTTGTAATATTCATACCGGGGCCCACTCCAGTAAGGAATGTGGCAGCCCTGGCACAGAAGTAAAGAATATAAAAAGAGGAAGAAAAGGGCCAAAACAATAAATCTCACCCCATTTCTCTCTCTAATATCTGTAGAGGTGAGGAATGTTTTTGGAGTATAATCCACACTAAATATCATAAATTCTCAAATCAACCGCGACTTCGAAGTCTGCCATTATTAGTCTTATGTTGGTTTGTATGCCCAAACATGCAAGCCTGTTAGGTGGACATCTGTTTCCACATGGAGCGGGAAATAGGAAAGGTGTGAACTGGTTTGACTGGGCATCAGGGTTGCCTAATAAAGCACCAAAGTCATCCTCTCATTTCTTAAAATCTACATTATTAACATGATGTATTTGAGTATACATTAAAATATTATATGGATGCTTCTTGCGTCATCTTTTCTTTTTTTCCCCCACACAGATCAGAGGTATTCCCTTTGGAAACATCTTCTCTGTCAGTGATGGACCACTGGAGAACAGCACTGGAGTCATCTATTTCTATGTGACTCCAATGGATAACACTGTGACAGATCTGAAAAGCAACCCGTATGCCTCTCTCACATTCTCGGAGGCCGAGGGGGACTTCTGCAGGCAAGTCTTAGCTTACTGGAAAAATATATACAGTACAGAGCAAAAGTTAGGACACATCTTCTCATTCAAAGAGTTTTCTTTATTTTCATGACTATGAATATTGAAGATTCACACTGAAGGCATCAAAACTATAAATCAAAACATGTGGAATTATATACTTAACAAAAAAGTGTGAAACAACTGAAAATACGTCTTATATTCTAGGTTCTTCAAACTAGCCAGCTTTTGCTTTGATTACTGCTTCACACACTCTCGGCATTCTCTTGATAAACTTAAAGAGGTAGTCACCTGAAATGGTCTTCCAACAGTCTTAAAGGAGTTCCCAGAGATGCTTAGCACTTGTTGGCCCTTTTGCCTTCACTCTGCGGTCCAGCTCGCCCCAAACCATCTTGATTGGATTCAGGTCCAGTGATTGTGGAGGCCAGGTCATCTGGCGCAGCACCCTATCACTCTCCTTCTTGGTCAAATAGCCCTTACACAGCCTGAAGGTGTGTTTAGGGTCATTGTCCTGTTGAAAAATAAATAATCGTCCAACTAAATGCAAACCGGATGGAATAGCATGCCGCTGCAAGATTCTGTGGCAGCCATGCTGGTTCAGTACGCCTTCAAATTTGAACAAATCCCAAACAGTTTCACCAGCAAAGCACCATCACACCACCTCCTCCATGCTTCAAAGTGGGAACCAAGCATGTAGAGTCCATCCGTTCACCTTTTCTGCGTCACACAAAAACACAAAAGCACAGATTTCCACAGGTCTAATGTCCATTCTTTGTGTTCTTTAGCCCAAGCAAGTCTCTTCTGCTTGTTGCCTATCATTAGCAGTGGTTTCCTAGCAGCTATTTTACCATGAAGGCCTGATTCACACAGTCTCCTCTTAACAGCTGTTCTAGAGATGTGTCTGCTGCTAGGACTCTGTGTGGCATTGACCTGGTCTCTAACCTGAGCTGCTGTTAACCTGCAATTTCTGAGGCTGGTGACTCGGATGAACTTAACCTCTGCAGCAGAGCTGATTCTTGGTCTTCCTTTCCTGGGGCGGTCCTCATGTCAGCCAGTTTCTTTGTAGCGCTTGATGGTTTTTGCGACAGCACTTGAGGACACTTTCAAAGTTTTGACAATTTTTCGGACTGACTGACCTTCACTTCTTAAAATAATGATAGCCACTTGTTTTTCTTTACTTAGCTGCTTTTTTTCTTGCCATAATCCAAATTCTAACAGTCTATTCAGTAGGTCTATCAGCTGTCTACCCACCTGACTTCTGCACAACACAACTGATGGTCCCAACCCCATTTATAAGGCAATAAATCCCACGTATTAAACCTGACAGGGGACACCTGTGAAGTGAAACCATTTCAGGTGACTACCTCTTGAAGCTCATCAAGAGAATGCCAAGAGTGTGCGAAGTAGTAATCAAAGCAAAAGGTGGCTGCTTTGAAGAACCTAGAATGTAAGACATATTTTCAGTTACGTATGTAATTTCACATTTGTTAAATCATAGTTTTGATGCCTTCAGTGTGAATCTACAATTTTCATAATCATAAAAATAAAGAAACCTGTTTGAATGAGTAGGTGGGTCCAAACTTTTTGTCTGTGCTGTATATATGTATCATGATTATTTATGATGATTATTGATGAAATGGCACCACAAAGGTTTCCTGTCTGATAATTTGACTGAATGAATATGAGGTATACATGAAACAAAGATGAAAAGCCGAGAGTCATCCCTAAATACAACCTTATTTTTGTTTCAGGCAACATGTCATCATCAGCAGCAGAATAAGCCACAAAATAGTTTATGTTAATATCGCTCTAAAAGTGCATTTTTGCATTGAATTAGTAGTTACCAGTTTTAGTCAATAGGGGGCAGAATTTCTACAGGATTAAAGACAGGTCATTTTAAAGAAGAACCCAAAATCTTATCCTTTATGCATTCAGTTGTAGGTGTGTGTGTGTGTGTGTGT